AATATATTTGTTATACGAAAGCTCTGTGTCTGTGGTCGCTGTGAGTATCCATGACGTCACAATTGTCACAAAATATATAACCGTTTGTACGATATTCGTTGGTTTGTAAGTTTTAGGAACTTCAGTGAAGCACTTCGAATTCGCTAGCGCTGCTCAAGCGCCGAGTAAAGGTACGAGATTTTAACTGCATCATGATTCGAGAGATGAACTAATCGGAAACTCTTTTTCTTCTGGAGTTCAGCAGTCGAATGACCTTGACGCGTTAACGTCGCTCTGGCAGTGCCCGCTAAGCGGTCGAAGGTCTTGGACAGTGAAACTTGGCGCTCAAAACGGGGTAATGATTTCTGCGCCATCTACAGCAGGCCCGTAAGCCGAACTAAACGTGTGACGTCATGCAATTCAAACGCTGGCAATGTAGGCGGTGTTTGTTTTTCGTTACGTGCCGGCAGGTGCCCTTTTTTATCCAGATTTGTCAGTATTTTGGAAGATGATATTAAGAAGACTGGTGATAGACAAATGCATTGCTAGTATTTTCGCCCTACCAGCAGTGGAGGTATTTATAATTCATGATGAAATATTGTTGCATAATTGTAATTGAGTATTTCATTACTGAACATTCACACCATGCAAAATAGTCTTAAAAATCCTTAAATACCTTTAGTATAACCTAACCTGAGCACATGTGTCATTTATACTGTTCTATTTGTTTAAAAGTATTGCAATTATATTATTTCTAACTGATCATTTCGTATATTGGACAAGTTTGTCATATATCCATTGTATATCCATATATCCACTGTTTGCAATGCCCAGGTATTTAAAATCTCTTATTTTCAAATAAGCATAATTCATTATTTTTTGCATTTCTAGAAAAGATACACTCTAATTAGTGTATGATGAAATGTAATTAATTTAATTTGCTTAGGTGTACGAGTTACCTTTCGATTCTGGAGGTGATATTCGAGTTGCCATATGTTTTGAGGAGAGAACTGGAAAGATATCAACGAATTTGACTTCACCAACATTAGAAGATGGAATTGTATCAACAGTGTTTCTTACTCCCACCCCTCTTGTTTTCTCAAAGAAACACACATACAGAATCTCCCTCTAAAACTAAATTGTTTATATAACCTAACTCAAATACTGCTTTAAGCGAGGAGTTTTTAAAAATAATTTGGTCATGTACTGCTCCAGGCCAGCGAGCATTAATATTCTGAATTTTAAATCAGAACTGCATACAGTTCGTAAATTTAATGAGAATGTGCCATCTCTCCCTTTGTATTCTTCTGAATTGTCTCCACCTGGGCATTTTATTTTAATGTGGGTGCAGTCAATAGCACCAATTACTCTTGGGAAATCTGCTTTCTCATAAAACTCTTGTTGTACATGATTTCTTTCCACTGCACTTTTGGAGAAGAATAGAGGGAGCTAATTTGGCTATTGACTGGCTAGTTTTTTAATCCTACTTGCGGTACTCTTTATCTAGACCACAAAAATCTCCAATGCAAATTACAAATCCACCCGTTAACTCCATGCGAGATCAAGGGGTAATTTAGCACTTGGTTATCCCATAGTTAACTCGTATCCAGAGTTTGTACAACCGATTTAAGCGCTAACAGTGTGATAAAATTTATCCAGAGTTTATTCCATGTTCGTTCAACTGGCTCTCAATCAAACAAACAATAATATAATAAAAATTTAATACTCAGGTTTTCATAAACTTTTTTCTGCTTTTAAAGTAATCAAGAATAAATAAATCGCTTTACAATGTTGGTTTTAAGTAAAAAAATCTAAAACTATTTAAAAATATTATTTAAATCATATTACTCTGATTTAAATTTTAAAATATCAGATTTTAAAAATAAAAAAATCAGTTCTTTAAGCTTTACCAAAAATATATAATGGGTTCTTCAATCTAATTACAAAATTATAAATCCAATCAATTATCAGTATCATCAGCTACACATTACATGAATGACGTATTTTTCTCCAAAGCTCTTCAGATGTGTATCTTGCAGTTGCTACACTGGGTTGTAGTGTACCTTATCTTGCATCATGGTATCTTCCTTGTCCCTTAATAAATTCCAGCCTTTTCTAGTCTATTCAACTTTCTTTGTTGTTTTTTCCGTTGTTTCTCTGTGGATACAATTCACGAAGAAATCCAAAATGATTGTATTCCAAGGTCAGGATTTAAGATAAGTGAAGATTTTAATTTAAACAAATTGACATCAAATAATTAAACAGTCTCTGGCTTATGGCTTATCTGGCCTCAGGCATCTCTTCAAATTGCAGTTTTCCTGGAAACAACACCAACAAAGCACAGAATGGTCGTTTCGCCATTTGCAATCAAGGTCTCATTCCAAAAGACTGTCGAAATTCAGTACAGGCTTCCACCACCAGAGCGACCAAAGAAGGCTTGGTGTATTTCTAAGAATATAAATAATCTCTCTAAATTTACACAAAATGTTTCATAAGGAGAATGACAAACAAGAAACAACATTGAGGAGAGAAAAGGTTGTCAGAAGAAGAAAACATCGCATATCTCGATGAACAAAAGTTTTATTAATAAAATAATTTTACTTTTTACAACATACAAAATAATGCGGCAATGGGAGTTAGAAACGTTTCACATCAAATAATTAAACAGGTATCAACATTCGAACAGTTAGAAAACTGGACCAATTTTTCATTTTTGTTTCTTATTACTAATATGAATTTACGAAATAATAAGACATTTATACCATTTCCCCCCGTTTTTCATCCATGTATTCACGTTAAATATTCATTAAAAATTGTCATATGTATAGGTATTGTGGTGAGTTATCGTTGGCATTTCTAATGAAATAATTATATGCATCGTTTTTTTAATAAATAATATTGTTGGCAATGACGACGCATATAATTATTTCATTGTCATATGTAACCAAGAAATTATTTATTGGTCTACAGATCCCCATTTATTGGTCAGATTGTAAATTTTCTACTATAGAAATATCTCTTCTATAGAAGTGAGGTTCTGTCTCACCAATTGTATCAAAGTGTATATATTTGATTAATTTTATTAGTGCATACACCTTTATTTAATTTTATAATATTTCATACATAATTTACCAATTAAATCTTGGCGATTTATGTTTTTCAACCATCGTTCACGCATCTGTTGATTTTTGGAGAGCTTTTGAAAGGGCACCCTCCAAAGAGGTTGAGCACCCTCTTACGGAATATTTACCCATCTTCTGCAAATAACACAATTACTTCTTTGTAGTAAATCATAAGAAAAGCAGATAATTAGTCCCCCGCCTTTTAAAATTGAGTGAGCCGGCCCTGGTCTTGGGGCAGGAGTTGGGGGGAGAAGGGGCGCCCAAGGCCACCGAACTGCGCCCTCTCCAACTCACCAAATATACTCCGGTTTTGCTATAGCAGCCGATGGATGACATTAGGTCATTGTTACAGCTCCGGCCTTATAAAATTAATCAATTTAATTAATTCGCCTACTTTCTTCTCCACGGGGCTAGGGTCCTCAGATATGTGCTGTTACTCTGATACACACTGTTATAGGTAAGCACAAGCATTTAAACAGTCTGACGAGTCCGTGTTCACACTTTCCTAAACAAGCGAGGCATATTTTATTATTTTATTTTTGGGTAAAGTGATGCACTTATTGGTGTTTCTTTTTTCTGCAAATGTCATAAATGAAACAAGTACGTTTCTCTTGAAGATGTTCCTAGTACTATATTTATGTAGAAGACCTTGTAGTGTCATTCATGCGACTGCTTCTCGCGATAAAATTTCGATGTTTACAGTTACAATACTGTTCTAGTAAACAGATTTATGAATTCTTATTAATAAATATGAATTACCAACTTTTGAGTTATGTTTAAGAGTGGTTATTTTACGAGCGATTACTGGGGCGTAATAGCATTCATCTCTAATAAAACCCTTCCAAAGCATAAGAAAATTAACATTTGCGACCTCATACTATCCTAATCCATGACACTAAATTGCATTTGCCACTGAAATAGTATACATCATCGTTTTCGATAATAAAATATCAATACTCATGACAGCAATCACTTTTCTAAATTAATAAAAAACAATGCTTTTTCCAAGTAGATATTTATGCTTATTGATCTTACGTATATTGTTCTAAAGGTGTTTTGTTCAATTGGCATCTACATATTTATTTCATTTTTTCTTCATTCCCGTTAAGAAATTAGATGAAGGTAATCTTTAAGAAGTATTGATTTTTAATATTGATACAGCCGGTGACGTGTCAAGTATTTACTGATTGAGTCAGGATTCGTACGCATTTATCACTGGATGTGCTCTATCACAATATCTATTATTGAATCCAAGAATGTAATTCAGAATGAATTATTCTTCAGATTCCACAACTGTATCGAAATAGGACACGTGCAATGTATTACAGAACTAAAATTTTTGCAATTTGTTTACTTACTGTATCTTTGCCTCAGGCATCTCTTCAAATTGCAGTTTTCCTGGAAACAACACCAACAAAGCACAGAGTGGTCGTTTCGCCATTTGCAATCAAGGGCTCATTCCAAAAGACTGTCGAAATTCAGTACAGGCTTTCACCACCAGAGCGACCAAAGAAGGCTTGGTGTATTTCTAAGAATATAAATAATCTCTCTAAATTTACACAAAATGTTTCAGAAGGAGAATGACATACAAGAAACAACATTGAGGAGAGAAAAGGTTGTCAGAAGAAGAAAACATCGCATATCTCGATGAACAAAAGTTTTATTAATAAAATAATTTTACTTTTTACAACATACAAAATAATGCGGCAATGGGAGTTAGAAACGTTTCAAACTATACAATGATTAATGCAATAAATGAAGGAGCTTCACGACAAAGACTAGTAAATTCTGCACACAATTTGAATAGGAAAATCTACAATGACGATGAAGATGAAGGCAATGCGTTCGTTTGGTTCAATGATGTAATCAGAATTTGAAGGTACGTCACAATACAATATTTCACATTACAATACATTATGCAAAGGGCGATATGAATGAAAAAAATGACATGATGGTATTTCGATAGTAGTTTCCACGACGATAAATTGCAAGTCAAAAATTGGATTTTTCTTTCACATATTGTGCCAATGATTTTGATATTGATTTTTTCTTGCGTTCAAAATTCGCGAACGAATTAGATATCATCAATAATATATATTTGTAACCAAGAAATAATGTAGCGGACAATCAATACAATAATTAATTAACTTAATTAGCGCAGATATTGAAACATAAGGTTAATAAAAATCTAGAAATAACTTTGCAAACGGAAAGAAATCAATCTGCGCCAAACATACATACCGCAAATCAACACCAACTTTCTTGAAACTATCGTCGTGCAAACCTATCTTCACAAAAAGTGAATATTACTAGATTGCAATGACATAGGAACCAATGACATTGGGACACTAGCGCTCCAAAGCGGTGTCTTCCAGGCACTTTATTTTATAAAAGCGGACCACTGAAATCCGTGCATGATTTTTTGTGGACTACTACATGTCTACGTAACATCCACTATACACAGTCCTATATGATACACTACTACAATGCAAGACTTTAGTGTTTATATGTCTGCGACCACGAGTCAAGGCAGCGTCTCGTTTAGTGGCCGGCCGTCGAAAGCACAGGTCTACCAACAGCCACGGGGAAATGGGCGACCCCGTGCAAGCTCGAACAGTTCGCATTCCCAGCAGGTAATGGCACTCCTTTGAGAGTTTTTGCATAGCGTGAAGCTCATAGGGGAATATCACATTTCAACTTCCGCGCATGCGCCAACTTGAACGCGAAGTGATACCGGAAGCAGCTTTTCCACCGGATTCCGTGGACGACATATCAAATGCTAATCTATCACTCGGTCAAATTATGTGGAATTTGTTCCCAACTGCGAAGGTAGAGTGTGCTGCTAAATTTACATTGATGATGAAACATCATGTTGGTGGTTTAATCTGTAAATATAACTACATGTATATACGGTATTAGTTATATGCATTTAATAATATATTAACTTTATAATATTTATATATTATTATATAATTATATGTTACATGAGGAGCAACTAATCAAAATGCATATTGTTCACTGGTGGGAAAAATTGAGTTGGATATGAAATGTTGTAGTTTTTAATACGCTCTACACGTTCCTGCGTTCGTATTTCTTCAAAACGCATTTTAACATATTAAATTAAATGCGTTTTGAAGAAATATGAATGCAGGACCGCGAAGAAAGTATTAAAAACCACACGATTTCATATCCAAATCAATTTTTTCCACCAGCGGACAATTTGCGTTTTGGTTAGTTGCTCCTTATATGCAGCTTAGGGGTTGTTGTGCAGCTCTAGTCGAACAAAATCAAATCAGGATAATGTAGCTTTACGAGAATTTAGTGCACACTCTGCAGCCACAGTTCGGAACTACTTCAGTTTAACACAAAACTCTTTTTAAGTCTTCACATGCCATTGGCCACGTGGTTGCTTCACACACCGCTATGCAAAAACCCATATTTCGTGTCCGGCGGGCGACGTCTCACAACCGTCGTCCACTGCGCCGACACCCAGTTGCTACTGCTGCTGCTGCTAAACGAGTAAGCGTGGGGAGCCGCTAGTAGAGAGCCGGCCGGACGGAGCAGATAGGCGCGGAGGCAGCCGGCGCGGCTGGAGATCCTTGGGGGACACCCGCTGCGGGATGTCTGCCCTCCCCCGCTGCAGCCGCCCAGGGTGGGGGTGGGGGGTGGTCAGGGGTGGCGGGGGCGGCGGCGCCGGCGCCCCGCACGCCGTCAAGCGCACGTGCAGTCCTCGGGCACCGGGTACGGCACCTTGAGCCACTGGCAGCGGTAGCGCTTGCGTCGCTTCTTCTTGCGGTCGGTCGGCTGCAGCCAAACGCTGTTGGACAGGGCGCTCTTGCGGAGCCTGCGACACCACGCGCGCGCGCGCGAACCGTCGCCTCAGCACATGGGCACGCACGTGCACATGCACTTCACGAGCATGCACATGGTCATAGTGAGGGAAAATGAAGGGTTCCGGTGCATAGAGAGATTACTATAAGAAAGGACCGCTTTGACAACTACTGCTTGGCCATTTCTGGCGATATAAGTGCGACTTCAAGCACTCACTTCGTCAGTACCTTCATTTCTAGTTAGCTCATTTGTAAATGGCTACATCACTATCTCTTGCAATTTCATCGCCTTGGATCGTCTCCCGACCTGTCAAAGTAGTCCGTTTTTTGAGTAATTCCTCTATCTACTCCCTTTCAAACATGTAGTCCTTTCACGAATATGAGCTGGCAGGAGAGGGTGACTGTCATCGTATCGCGAGCTTCGTTACGACTTAAATTTTTGGTTTTGAAATTCCCAATTGGATGACAGTGTCCCCCTCTCTTTTCAGCTCGTGACCTTGAAAGAACTTCGTGTTTTAATCGAAGTACAAAACATTATAACCTCACAAGTAAATGTTTTCGAGGTATGAGGGATTAAGTGAGTTACATGAAAATGACAACCGGGGATCAGGTATGACTCACAAACTGAACTACTAATGTTGCACATTCCATGGACAACAAATGGTTATTTAAACTTATTATTTTACATAAAACACAACTGTGAGTGTGTTTACGCACGAGCTTTTCAAATAATTGCAGTAGATCAACTTCATTTAGTCGGGGGAGCGTAATGAAATTATCATTGAACTAATACCATGAAAGATTTTAAAATAAAAACACTACAATAACCGCAACTATAATATATTTTTCCAACTTTTAACTTAATTTTAAAAAATAGAACATATTTTAAAATATTCACGTAATTTGCAGGTTCCATTCACAATAAAATTTAAATTTTCCAATTAGAAATCTAAAAGCTCATTCTACTATGGAGCATTCACCCTGTTAATTAAGTTCAGGGGAGTATTACTAGACATTAAAATTTTCGGATCTCTATGTGACTTATGGGAAATACTTCTTAGTTTTTTTTAAAGGTTTCTTAATTAACTTCATGAATGCAAACCTTGCGTTACACCAGGGTGTGAATTGGAAGATTCTTCCAATTCACTTTCAAAAACCGGCGAGGAGACGTATTTGAAAATTGATAAATAAAACAAACATCCCACGGAACGCTGTCTAAATGCATCCTACAATTGCTCTGGTTAAAGTTAATTTGTCCTATTTTTCTTCCTACGGATTATTTTGAATAATTCAAAATGTGAAAATCACACTCGAAGATCCTAATGTGGATTATGTGGATTATGTGAATTACCGGACGAGAAAGTATTACTTCTTTCTTCTTCAGGATGGAACATGAAACACTTTAGAGGGGCATGTCGCCCACCATCCTCCCAATTCGCAACCTGCACCATCACATTCTTGTGTCACCCACACAAACACCTGGAGTAATGGGAGTTCAAATCTCCTAGGAACGAATGGTGTGAAGCTACCGTGCTGGCTTCGCATCGCTACGCATCGGCTATTGTAACATACAATATACTAATAGTTTCCATTCTCTGAAATACCGGATGTCGTTGAACACAGGTAGCTAAGGCTCTGCGCAAATAGAAAGGTAGTGTGTTCGTATCCCTCTCAGACATGTGTGCTATCTGAGCAAAATGGTGGCATGTAATGTCACGACAAAGTCCTAATTCCATGGTCCGCTTTTCCGTATGCTGGTAGGGGGCGGTTTTACTTATTATTTCGTGTTTCCGGACGCGTCAACTGCTTTGGACCTGCTCCGTTTTTTTGATGCAAGTTTTATTCCTTGGGAGGTGGCAGTGTTCTTCCAGACTTGAATGGTAAGATCCGACGCCGACCCACACGTCGGGTAGTCGGATTTTCCCACCAGCGAGGCATTGCCCCAGGGGCACGACGGTAGTGTAGTGCAGATAGTGTATAGTGAGGTGCGGTAGTATAGTGCATGTTAGTGTGTGTATAAAATAAGAGGTGATGGTAGGACATGGAAGAAGAAGGATTTATGTCTGTTTTTATTATTGAATTATAAGAACCAATTATTTACAGACAGTTTATTCTTCTTAAACTTTTCATGAACCCTATATCTTTGGGTTCTTCTTCGATAATATATTTTTTCATGAGTTCACGTTTTTCATTACCTTTTGTTAAGATTAACAAATGGACATGTTGGGTGAATTGTCATCCAACTTATCTGTTCGTTAATCTTGACAAAATGTGATAAAAAAGGGGAACTCGCAAGAGCCAGTATTTCGTCGGGATACCCCGAGCTCGATTAGGTTGACTGTAAGTGACTGAAAGTGACGAGTAATTAAGGGAGTCAGCCACCAGGCCGCTTCACGGGCTAGACGTGAGTTGTCGCAAACGCTAAATCAACTAAATTTCGTCCGAGAAAGGTAGCACTTCCGGGCACGCCATGAGCAAACTTCAATTAACTTGTAAAGACACTTAACTACTACAGGCAAGGACAAAAAAGCGCAATATGCAGCGGCCATCATCTGCCATTCACAGTCGTGGGCAATTGGTCTGGGAGCGACGATATCGCCACCCCCTGCCGTAAAGTTCACGGCCAGAAGCTTCGAGGGAAACTACGTCAGAAAGGAATTAACTGAATGCCTCCTGGATACACCGTAGTCTACAAGAATCAATTTATTGATGTAAGAAGGACTAACAGCCGAGATGTCTGTTGATTATCTAAGAGCGTGCAATTGTACCTTTCATTCGAGTAATTTGTGCCTCTCAGAAGTTTTTTCCTCTCTTCAGAATGTCATCTCCTCCAATTTTACTTATTAAATTTATTAACATTATTTTCTCTCTTTTTCTTATAATATAATAAAAACCCTTGCGTTCTCCTTCATTCCTTGGCAACTCCATAGCTTGAAGGTGAGGGCAAATCCAGGTAAGCGAGTGTTTTGTGACTCGCTGCCGGACTGCCGCTTATCAAGCTTATCTGAGACTCCTGAGAGAAGCGGTAGCGTTCTAATATATTGGACGTTTGAAATGTTTGAAACGGATATCCCGTTTGAAACGGATGGAGAGACGTCTACAATCTACCGTGAAAGGAAACACGGTAATGTAAATGACTAAGTAGAAACTGAAGGATAGTGGGAGATTGGCTCGAAAAATCTCAATTTTTTGTAGAATAAAGGGTATGGAATGGAAAAGCCAAATAATATTGTAAAGGTAGCGGAATGTAGGTCTCCCGAGGGTACGCAAGTGCCCATCGCATGGGTTGTCCCCCTTTGGATGCTGGAAGCGGGCTTCCCAGTGTGTGGAGGCGGAGCGGCCAGCGTCTGGAGCTAGTTGCCGAACTGTAGAGGGCGCGGGCGCGGGCTCAGCCGCAGGCGGGGGGGGGGGGGGCCGCCGCCGAAAGCGAAAGCAGGCAAAAAGTGCTCTGCGCGAGCCGCGTTCTCTGGGCCACGTGACGCGGTGCCCGCAACCGCTTGTGGAAGCTGTTGGACCGCACAACGCCTGCAGCTCTTAGCACAGCATCCGAAAAGCACCCAGGACCCCTTTGGCGCGGGGTAATGTAAAGCGAGGTCAAGCAACATGTATTCTTCTGTTAATTTCAGTTCTTCAGCTTGGGGTATTACGTTACAAGATATGAGTAAAGTTTGTTATAAGTGCCAGAATCATCGCAACTGGACGATTTAATATAACAATACACCAAAAAGAAGTTCATGGAATAATGTTTGTGATTTACGCCCCTTACACTCAAAAAGAAACAAATAAAATGTTTAACAATTCCTGAGTAGTGTCTGATCACGACTATCTTGTAAGTCAAAACTATGTCTCTCATAACAGATGTGCGTCATTACAGGTAACATACTTTGTATAACAAAAAACGATAATTCAAACGTCTTAAGAGTAGTGCCGAGCGGTGACCTAGTGATGCAAGATGACACATCGGATCTAGGCTACAAAAGTTACTACTTTCATTACCATTAATACTTTTTATTACTATTATTATTATTATTATTATTATTATTATTATTATTATTATTATTATTATTATTATTACACCGTGTATTTCCTCAAAGTTTGCATAAGCAAACAGAAGCCAGATAGAAGATGCATTATAAATTGCAGCAATATTTTTATTTTGATATTTATATAATACAAATTAATATTTAGCTTTTAAGTTTGAGTCAAATTAAGTATCGAATCAATTTCTCAACAATTAATATTATCATCAACATTGCATTATTATTAACATTGCATAAATTCACTAATCGGTTAAATAAAAAATCTACTCCAGGTTGCAACAACCTTTCAAAGGAGAAGTTCTAGAGATTCATGGGCTCTCTACAATACTTGCAAGGGAATGCCGCGATGTGACATGACGAAACCTGTCCTAATCCTTCTTTTTATCGGAAGCACATGGCGTATTAATCTCTCGATCAAACTTTTGGGTGCCGATACACACTGTGCGTCAATTAAAAACATCCTCAATTTGCAAATTGGCGCTCTGCTTTCACCTGAAGTGAAAATGGCCAACTCTGCAAAGCAGGTGTTACCCAGCGCGCTCGCTTGTGAATCAACACTACTTCTCGCCGCGACCGGCAGACTCTGCTTCCAAGGTCGTTTCATGAGAGGGGCAGGCGGGGAGGCAGCTGCCCCTCCTAGCCGCTAAAATAATAAAACTAATAACACTAATATTAACTATACATAATCTGAACTAATACAAGTTTTTACGAAATTTAGTTTTATCTGTTGTTCATTTTTGTAAGAAATACATTTTGTCGCGATAAACCTAGCCGCAACCGCTCATTTTCCATCGAACATGAACTACCTCCCCTGGAAGCCATGACATGTGAATTTGATTCACAAAGTAAATCTTAAATCTCTTCTTTACATAATTTACTTAGTTACATAACTACACATAATTTAATTAAAGTCATACAGTAGTTATATGATATATGTTTTCAATATTTAATAATTATGCATTTTGACGATATTCCTAATGAAAAAAGTAAGAAACGTTCATTGGTAGGGAAATAAAATATATCAAATAAAATGGACTTTTACAATAAGAAAAGCATTGAGTGTACTAGGAGTGGCCTGCTCCGACCAAATGTCATTTGACCTTGAGGGAGCAGCCCTCTACAACGCCAACCTCGGCGCCCGCGCGATCGCAGCTCGGCTTGCGAGGGCTGTCCAAGTCCTCTGTAGAACCTAAAAATAGTACGAAAACATTGGAAAATTTGGATATTATGAAATACTAAAAATAATTGGCAGTATGTATCGGCAGCCGAAATTTACATCGTGGTATCAGAAGGGCATGTAAATTCAATGAAAAAAAAAAGATTATTTCGACATGTCAAACCGCGGCATTCCCTTGTTAGCCCAAAACATGGACTGTTCTCAAACTTCCGTTGCCTTGCGTTTTCCAGTCTTTTGAATAATCTGTTGAATTCTTACAAGTTCTTATATACATTTTTCGAAACAAATCTCAGAGGTATGATGATCATGCATATCCAGGTACCACATTCACCACCATGTACCTGTGTTTTTACCTTCCACGTATGGCTAATCTCGATTTCCAAACTTTTATTTAAGACTTTTCTCTGTATTCTCCGTAATTTTTAATCGCATGGCATAGCAACATCTACAAGTAGAGAGCAGTTGTTTTCCAATTGCAGAATAACAATATTCGACCAGTTTCCTCCTATCGAATGATATGTGCGGATTTCTTGGTTATACAGTATTTTACACAGTCCTACAGACGTCATTCGTTTTGGTGAGTGTTCGCACCACTTGGAGCAAGTGCTGGGAAGTCCGTGCCATTCTGAAGCATCACTTTCTTTCGTTGTCGAATCTACTTGGTAGTTAAAGAATCATTTTACATTCAGATAATCAACCTTTCAGTTATTCAACCTTTTTAGGACTATGTAATTTTGTATGCGATCGTGCCTGGTTCATGCCCTTTACTGCTCTATTGACAGCCTACCTTATTATTTCGCGAACCAAAGTTACGGGCAAAATGTCTGAATAGATCCCGGTAATTGATACAAGAATTCCATCCTCGGATATGAAACAGAATTGAGTCGACACCTTCGCTCTCAGCGGCCGCGCGGGTCGTTGCCATCAGACAAGAGCGCAGGGATCGAATGAAGCACAGGCGGAATTTGCAAGACAATGGCACTCAGCATACGGCCCCGAGTGGCCGTGACGTCAGCGGGTGGGGAGCGCAGCGGTGCGATGAACGCGATAGCGGGCCGCGAGAGGCGAAGATGAGGTGTGCGGTGGGGGCGGGAGGGGAGAGCGGAAGCAGGCGGAGCGACGTGAAGGAGGAGGGACACAAAAGAGCGAGACTGAGCTGCGCGGTTGGGCCGAATGCGAGATTGGGCGGCATGGAGCTGAGGGAGAGAGCATCTAGGTCAGTCGCAAATAGGGGTGGGCGGTGCGGGTTCGCGGGGTGGTGGATTAACTCAGAACAAAGCGCATCAGAGGAGGGATTGGGATAGGGTGCGAGGAAAGCAGATCGGGTATGTACAGAGCGAGTGTATGAGAGATATGTTGACTTCGGGTCCATTCGGGACGGAACTGAACCAATCGGGCTAGGAATACTTGTAGAAGAGCAGGGCTGGGCAAAAATAGAACGACGGAGCTGAAAGCTTAGGCTTCCTCGTGTGCCGTCATATCAGTCGCCTTGTACAAACGTGACAAAATATTAGCCACGTACATTTAATGTACATGAAATGCACGATAAAGTAGTTTGTGACAGCGGGCAGCGCTGGCGGAAGGGGCGCCGGGCTGAACAATGGCAAACCTAGGGAACGGGTGCCGCGTCGTGGGTGGTCACTTGTGAACCCCTTTTATCACTCGAGGCAAACTTGTGAACCCCGTTGACATGCTGGCTGTGGAAACGTGTCGGCCGAAACAGCGAGATGACGCAGTTTCGTCAGCCCGCCAAGAAAGTAATGTAAGCGGACCCCGGACCTAAACTCCTTCTTCTTATTCTTGGGTGCGTCGGTAGGAAGTCGTGTGGGTTGTGTGCGGCGCTGCATTTCAATACATAGGCTCCTCAGGCAGGGAACTAAAGCCGACGTGGTACGTCGGACGGGAGGTGCGGCATACTCGCGTGTATGCTCACGTAGGCTACTGGTGCATCACACCGAATAAGATATCAAATTATCAGGCCAGCAGTGATGGTGACCGGGAACTTTTCTTCTAGTAACGGATCTGCTCAGGTGGCGAAATAGCCAAAGAAAAGTTGGGAGAGCTTTGTTAATAGAAACTGCAACGGAACATCGCCTCTTCTACGAGTACACAAGACAAGACAAGAGTGTTCTGGAAAAGAGACGACACACAATTGGCAAAGATTGTTACTTGGAGAAAGAATTAACGAGTGTTGAAGAAGTTGTCACAGTTACCTGTGTCCAAACGAAATTATACCTTTCTTTACGAATTCCGTGGCTTTTTGTTTCGTGTTTCTACTACATCCAGTGCCTGGCACACCCTGGATCGAACCTTGAAGACGTTCAAAACGCTTTTACTCAGCTTTACGCATTAGCTTGTGGTGACAATGCGAGCAGGCGTCTGTAATAGAAAATTCCTAGCATTTCGACAATGCCAATTTTACGCGGGAGTTGCCCAGAAGCTGGTGCGATATTTCGGTGACGCTCCTAACTAAAATAAAGCAGTTGATAATCGACTTCAAGGAACATTTGTACGAAGAAATGAATGTTTGATCAACAAACAAGAAATTCGCGCGGCTTTTTGAGGAAAATTAATGAGGATCTTAATCTCGGATGTGCCAAGTTTAAAATGTATAATCCTTTCCTCTGAAACGCCTTCAAAGAACATCAAACGCTCTGTTAAAAAAACAAGGCGCCAAATTTTGGCGTAATTGGCAATGTGTCAACAGGTCAATATTGTTTATTGTAATTATTGTAAATAGTATTCAGCTGTTAGAGCAGATTTCAAATAAATCCTCAATAAATTACAAACCGTTCACGACTGTGATTTATTGCCCCGCCAAAGACGCCACACTCGGCCGGAGTTGGTATCAAGTTCGCTGTGGAGAACACGCCGTGTCCTAGGTTCAGATACAAACGTTTCAGCCATCATGACGGGACCTTCCTTGAGGCGAAGTGCATGACAATTGCAGTATGATGCCCGAAACGCGGCATCTCCCGGACAGCCAACTAGCTGCTCGATGCTGGCAGAGCCGAATTAGGCGAGGAGAGCTGGGAGGGGCTGTGTGTGGCCGAGAGGAGTAGGAGGAGGTTGGGGTTGTTTCGTGCCGGGGCGGGACAGGCGGCAGGCGGCAATAACAGGGCGGGTACGCGAGGTGGAGGGCGTGGGGCGGGACAGAGGTGAGCCGCGAGGGCAGAGTGACACACGACGCGACGCCTCCAAGCACTGCGCTGCCCGACTGCGTCGTGGCGTGCCCCGTTCGTGCAGCCCTCCGTTGCATGCGATGCACAAATTTTTGACGCGGTGTAGCTTGGCACGTTTTAAAAGTTACCTTTCTGTCTGTTATCCATTATATTCTGTTTATATTATTTCTTGCTTCATTTTCCATCTTTTCCTTCTTCTTTTCGAAATCATAACATGCGTTTCTTGGTAATTTGATACCAAAATCAATTTTAAACAATTCTAACGATATCTAATATTTATTTTCTCCTTTTTTCATCTGTGAATATCGTTAATATTACTTTTTGCAAAGTTTGCGTTCATTATGTTGTAAATAAAGTTTTAGAGAAGAGCTTACATTTGATTCAAGGAGGCGTCACTCCCTCACTTAAAATTAATTAAAACATTCTATTCACTCTAGCGTTTTCGTTAGGCAGAAGGGCTTTCAAAAAATAAATTCAAAAATTTTAGTTACCTTAGTATGATGGCGTTCAATTTACTGTAGTCGATAGTATACAGAAATTCTGTGCAGACGATTATTGAATCTATAGATTATTATATCGAAGAGTGTCGGTCTTTAGATTTACTTTTAATTTCATTGTGATTGGAATTGCCATGTTACAGTCACCTTTTCATGACTTCCTATGTACGTTTTCATTATTACTGTGCCGTAAGATTCAAGACTTATACAGATAAGTACATGGAAATAAATTGTTCTTCTGAGGGTCATACTGAATGCCTAATCTATATAATTTAGGGCCATGGGACGCAACTGAAATTCAAGGCTAGTATGCATTAATATAGCAGTTTTAAGGAACTTACACAATTGATTTGCATTTTTACTGTTTTTCGTGTACTCATTTCAACGACCCGATTGACAAATATTCTCCTAATGCCTAGTCAGTGTAGAATTTAAGGGAGTGGGGATGAGGAAGATTACAAGACTCATCACAATGACGTATTTTTAAGTTATCGCTTACTTCAATAATTATTATTTTCTGTGATACTCTGCAAAACAGGAACACATCGTAGGGTTTATACATTAAGGATTTTGCTTTCAGATTCTTACAGGGGTATCTCGAGGATATATTTGCTTAATCTGTTGGGATGAATGGTTCCTTTGAAATTATACATCCTGAGTAACGTTTCTCTATTAAATTACTTAATTTTTAATACGCTCCTTGTAAAAACAATTTCAATGCGTATTTGTATTACAGGTGAATAATGTCGAGACGTTATTGAGGTAGTGCAACGCTCACCTGCAATGCCACCGCAGCAGCTGAAGCACCTTGGCGGCGGATGGTACACAGCGCATGCCCGGCGGCCATGAGCATGAGCGCGGGCCCGTCTCCACGCCCCCGCCGCCCCCGCCGCCGCCGCCGCTGGCGTTCCGCGCCGCTGCAACACAAGAGACGCTTTGGGGGACTCCGCGGGGTCGCTGACCCGTCGCCGGCTGGGAGAGCCCTCAGCGCGGAGCCCCGGCTGTCAACAAACGCCCCTCGCGGACGCTCGCGCCACTGCACCCTCCCCCTCTCGGTCCAGGGCTGGGTGTGGCAGTGACGAGATAAGCCACACCAGGCGCAGGCAGTCTCCCGCTATAGATAAATGATAATATCCGATGGGAGTCCGAAGCCTTCTGTTTTGTGCAGTGTCATTCAGCAAGTTACTGCAACTTCTACCAAGCTACAGCTAGTAGTAATAAAGACAACAATAAAAATGATAATTATTATTATTATTATTATTATTATTATTATTATAACTCGATTTTGGGCTTATCTTGTAACTGTCCTAAGCATTTTCTTGCTCACTCATAATGTCTACAATACCCAAGCTTTATTAATATCACGATTCTGCGAAGAGTTGCTCACATAGTTGCACTTCACATGCCTTTGAAAGATGGTAATCCGATCTCTTTTACCGAAGCGAGACAATGTCTCCAATTTTCTTAAAAATCGTCGCCATTGTATCTGGGGTGTCCCGAACCACGCGCGACTCATATATTTCGTCTTTGTGTTCAAGTATTGGCAATCATAATTAGGAAAATGAGTTTAACGATTTTTAGAAGTTAAATTATAACAACAAACTAATATTAATTTGCTTTAATTTTGCAATTTCCGTAAGTTTAATAAAACAACTAATTAACAAAATAAATTATTTAAACATTAAGTCTAAACTTTTTGGTATGTTTTAAGCTAAATTAATTAATAATTACTTACTTAAATAATTAATTACTTAAGCAGTACATTTAAAATTTGTTTGGGGGTGGGATAGACACAATAAGCAACTATTCATTTTGACAATTAATGTGTGGCTTTTCTAAAAAAATTAGATTATTTTAATATTTTGTTGTTGACGATATTTTTTCCTGTTATTAGATTCATCATGATACAACGTGTTTTTATTATTATTTACAAACGGCTAAAAGTGTTTTTTTGTAGACGTAGGCTTCCACGGCTCGGGTTCATGACTTCTAGGCTGTCTGGGTGACGCCGCGTCGTTGGCAGAGAGGCCGATGTTTTTGCCTGTCATATCGTCAGGCTTCTTCAGGTAGTGACCCCTGTTCGCTCACTACCTTGAAAAGCCTGCGATATGATCAGGCGTGAAACACGGCCGCTCTGCCAACGACGCGCGGCGCTCACCAGGACAGCCTAGAAGTCAAACTTTTTCACTCGCGAGTTGGTAAACAGTGTCAATGACCATGTGGCGGAGCAAGGGAGTTGCCACCGCGGGGAGTGGGGTGTGGCTGTCGGCGAGGGGCAGGGTGGTGGCGGGGCGGAGGCGGAGGCGTCGTCGGCGGCGCACTGCCTCGCCGCACCAGCGCCGCAGAAAGCGCTCAGGGCCTCCGAGTCTGTCCAAGCGTAGCGCACGGGGCAGGTGCGCGTCCGCCGCACCAGCCACTCGCGCCAGCAGGTCCTGCGCGCGCCCGGCCCCGCCCGGCCCGCCGCCCCCGCCCCCGCCCAGGCCCTGTGCGCCAGCTCCTCGGGCAGCTCCTCGCGCGCCGCCAGCGCCGCCAGCTTCAGCACCGACTGCCGCGGGCCCTCCTGCGCACACGGGCAAGCGGATGGATTGATTATTTCGTCTTTTCGGGCGAGACATCTGCTAAGGTCGTTAGTCCTGACAGTGTAGTACATCTTCTTATCGAAGGAGATGGCGGAGATCCGGAGCCGACCTTCATGTCGACTTGCACAGTTTTCCCCAACGAGATGTCTCCCACCAGCTTGTACAAGTTCGGGCTGGTTCAAGCTGGCGGGGCACCGTCATCTTGCACAAGTTTTAGGCTCCCAACTGGTCTTCCCGTATGTGTGTTATAGTCTGTTTAAGAGGTGAAAATATGACAAGGTAGAGGAAGGAATGATCGCGCGCGGTTCCGTGGCTCAATCGTTAATGTACTACTCCGGCATTTGCCTGGTGTTAGTCGGAGAAACCATGAAAAACTACCGGACAGAACAACCAGCGCTAGAATTCTCTTCCAGACAGCGCTATTTTCGACACAATTATGTAGTTAGTATCGAAAATCCTACTGCTTCGAACCCTAGGATCTCCCAGTCAGAGGCACTGCAGTGAGGTCAACTGATTCCCTTAGAATCTCCCATCTCAGACGGTCATGTGCCAAGGGAAAAAGGCGGTTTTTACCTAACTTTCCAAAGCAACAAAGGTGTTATGTTTTCAAGATGCTCTGTTTGTTGTTTTTTTTCTTTGTTACCACCTATCACCAGAGCGATCAGACTAATATTCTAAAATGACGTACGCTTACATTCATTTTCACAGCGTGAGGTCCATACGATATACAAAGTACAATACGGCTGACACTAGGCATCATTTTTAACATTTTGTCCAATGGATTGACAAGTTTGCATGCATGAAGTACATGTAAATTTGCCTTGAAATCCTGAATGTCATGTGTAATTTAAAGTTACAAAAACCAATATGGCCGACAGTATTATCCACTTCCTTGATTTATTGTTGATTGCGCAATATGACATTTTAGAGAGGTGGTGCACAATCAGCTGATAAAAAAATAAAAAACGAAAAGAACAACTTTTCATCGTTAGTTTATAAGAAACTATAGGCACAAGATCCCCTTAAGTATATTTACTAAAGGGGAATCCTCTCCTCTGCATCAATCGTATTTAAAATGAAATACAAAAGTTCTCAGATTATATAGGAGTGAAATTAAGAGTTTAGGCAACCCGCAATACACACTACACTGAGTGATCTATATCACCGCGGATAGCTAGGAAACGATAGGTTCTATAGTCTTCAGACTAAATGCACCGAAAAACACTCGTAGGAAAATTCAATAGATCGCCGCAGTGTCATAGGGGAATTGATTGCGGGTATCAATAATATTTTGGACGTAGGAATAGGCTGTTCGGAGAAATGACGCTTTGTTGGCTCCCTTCCCAGTGATGCAACGTCTGTGAGAATCCCTTCTTAGCACCTGCAAGCCCCAATCCTTCGCAGCGGCTGGACGCGCACAGAAATTGAATGCCTGAAAGAAACGCAAATAAAAGGCTCAGTTGTACTAATACGCACGATTTATTGGATAAAAACGAAAGTAAAATGTATATGCTCGTCCTTTTATATTTCATGAAATTGTTACAATCACTTCAAAATTTTCTGATTCTCCTACAATTACAACAATTGTGAATCTTCATCTTTTTATGTGAGGCCGAAAATCTTCATTTATTCTGCGCGGCTGATTCTATCTGATCATCACGGTTGTGAAACCACGGTGTAGATTGTTGTTTCGTGGTACTTCTATGCGACGGACAGTCGATCCCTTCACCTTCACCCACTGCAAAGAGGGCAAATTTCGTATTTCCGGTATTAGGTGGTATTATGTGCTAATTTTACGGACCTTGTGAGGAGGAGGTCCGGAAATTCCAAATCCGACGCGGCACTGGAACTGAGGTTCGCAAATAGGCAACATTGCGAATGCCCTTACCAAATTCACTACGAATAATACTGATTGGCTCGCTTGCTCGCTGCCCCTTTCCGCTTTATAGCTTTATAGTTCCCGTTCCATCTTAGCTATCGCTAGCACTGAACATTCTTGAACCTCATTTTACGCGACTTGTTCGAAGGATGACCAGGTAAAAATTGGAATTATTTGGAAACAAACAGGTTGTTTAGATAAATTCAGTTCTATACTTTGGTTATACAGGATACGCGAACTTCTGTCCCAATTATAGCACCAGTAGTGTGATTTGTGAAATAAAAGAAAACTAGTGATGCTACAGAATGAGACTTTCTCAAACTAGTTTGTATCCTCATTTCGGGCAGCATCTTTAGGTTCACAATTAAACCCAAACAAATCTCAGTGCATGATTATCAGCTCGAAAAGCACTATGAATTAAATCTCATCTTCTTCTTTGCCTAATATTTATATAAATGACACTTCGGTGTTCCGAAGAATCTAGGTGTAGTTACCGATACCACTCTCAGCTGGAACTTGTAAGTAGTTTCAACCCGCCGTAAAGTTTTTGTCTCAATGCATTCACTGAAATGCCTGCGAGCACTTTTACTACGTAGCACACGTGAGATTCTCATCAAATCACGTACCATGCTACATTTCGACTATTGCGACTTTCTTCTGACCAGCATGACATTCAAATTACGACGTAAACTTCAAGTATATAAATGTTCGTTTTATAATTGTGTATTTTAATATTACGTATTTTATCGTGTTTTACATATTTATTACATATTCTTAAAGTTTTCTTAACATATTTATACACATATTTTCACGTTTCATACTAGTATATTTTCCGGTCTCTATTTACGAGACATTAATTAAACAAACGCAATAATGTATACAAGACGCTGGTAATGTAAATATTAAACACGTGAGAGAAATGACAATAAATCGTGTAATTTATGAAAAACACACAAAAAAAGAATAAGGCAATGCGGCGTAACTGGACAACTGGACATCTCTACCAAAAGTTTGAAAAAATTTGGAACTGTTTTTGAATAATTCTGTTTTTTAATATTTTTTGTGATGCACATATTTCTCGCAATATTATACAAAAACGACTAAAATTTTCAAAGAAACGTGCATGACGTCAATAAAAGAACTAATTAGGGAAAACAAATTTCATTTCAGAAAAAATCTCTCTCATCAATACTGAAGTTGTGAGGACGCCGAGAAAAAATCAAACATTTGTAACCTTCAAAAAATCAAAGTTAATAGTAAACATCAGACATTTAGCCTTAAAACCTAGGGTGTCGTAATCCTAAAAAAAACGAAACATGTTAATCTGTTGTCACAGTGTTTAAAAATGTATACAGATACCCACGGTAATTTTTGATGTTCAGTTCTCAATTAGTGTCATTAATTATCTAGTGTCTAAAGAAGAGCGGTATTTTAAAGATCTTGTCGCAATGGCTATGTCCTATGGCTTGTGCTCGCAAAGGTATTGAGTTGGACGTCGCTTACATAGATATTTTCACGTCCCCAATTGTTTTCTTCTGTATTTAATATCTACCTCCGTTTAGTAAACTGGCTGGATGGGGAATATGTTGGTGCCGATTTACAACTGAAGCTCCGAGGCCGAATGGTTTTTAGATTAGATTTGATTGATTAGTGTTAACGGGTGCGTTAACTGGTAAGGTCATTAGTCTTGCAAGTGTAGTACATGCATTTATCGCATGAGATGTAGGTGAACTTCGGTAGATGGATGGCAAGATCCGGCGCCGATCTACACGTCAGATGTAGGCCATTTTCCCATCCAAGTATCTCTCACAAGCGGGCTAGCGCCCCACCCGGACAAGCTCCCGTTAGGTGTGGTGGTGAAGTGCATGGACGTGAGTAAGTAAGGGGTGATGATAGGACAAGAAAGTGGAAGAAAAGATCGAGCGCGGTCCGTGGTCCGTTGGTTAAGATAGTGCTCCGGCATTCACGTGGAGTTGATTGCAGAAACACGGAAAACTTCCGATGAGTAAAGCCGGACGCTAGAATTCCCCTCCAGACAGCGGGGGAATTCGACCTAGCTAAGTAGCTAATGTCGAAAATTCTGGCACCGTCGGGTCCGGAACCCTGGGACCTCCTGGTCAGTAACATCAGTTGATCAGTATCGTCGGTAATATTTCCGGTGTCAGTTAACAAGCTGGGTTGTAGAAGACCGGGACGTGGATTATTACTCAATATACCGACTGCTCTGATCGATCTATTTCTGTTTCCTCGATACAATTTAGACAAATGCCAGCGCAATACCTTCAACAATGACCCACAATCCCTCTTCTATATCTCCATACTATCTCCATCCTAACTGGAATTTGAACATTTTTTGGATTAGCCTTGAGAGGTACACGGAATAGAACCATGAACAAATGGCATGCATTATTTTGTGTTACACGTCTTTCATCCGAAATTTATTTCAGTTACTATTTCTATCTTTTGTCATTCAGTGTTCGTTGTCTAGACGCACGTCACACTCAATAATGATGGATAAAGGGAAGGATTTAAACAATAGCTTACTTAAGAGGAGTTTAATTCTTCGGCATGCATAAACAATGATACATTGTTTTTAGCATTTAGTCATCGGGAATGCTGCAGACAAAATTTAGTGATCTGTTGTAAGAAAAAGTAAGTAAACCTCTGTAGATCTCTATCTCATAAATGTAACCTCTAAGTAGATCTCTGTCTCATAAATTCAAATCCGCCGATCAAGCAAGAGGCGTTGAACTAGTTGTCTACATCAAATAATAACTTATATTATTTTTATTTGTATATAATGGAGGATATTCTATTTTCATTTGACAAGTGAACGTTTTTAAAAAGGTAATTAAAAATAGTTAATACGTGGTCCACATATCATTTTCATGCCTGAAGAAAACTGTGGACGTATTTTTTCTCTGTTAAAACCGAACCCATGATCTTAGAACTTCGACCACAGTTCTTCAAAACCACGTAGAAAGTACTTCACAAATTAACAAGCAAACTGAAAGTAGGTTCTCGCCGGTAGCTTATACCACTGGCCCAGACGGTCACAATCCCATCAATCTCTTAAAAGAAGTCCTGAATATTATATTATTCTTTTTTATTTTGATTTTTTACTCGTGAAATGGGCAAATTAATTTGGTGTAAATGTTAATATTGCTTTTATTTCTAAGTTTATTAACCATATGAAGGAATAAAATTCATCCAAAAGCATTAACGGAAGCAAGAAATATGTATAATGTATTTGTGGAAATCACCGGCCGTTGAAATCCTAGGTACTTCCGCAGATTACCCCTCGTGGGGCAAATGAAGAGGCTGATGTACTCTGAGAGGTAGAAGAGAACTCCCAAAAACTTGCTTCAAACTCGACTGGTCCGCCGCGGACTTCGCTGCGTGCGAAGGGGGCTCGCCCAGTGTCTGAGATGCGGCGCGGGCGCTGGGCCTCTGCCCGGAATTTCCAGTTCTCGGTCAAAATCGCAACCGAGGCCTTGGAGTTGCGAGCCGGTACGGCGCCGGGGCCACAGGCGAAGGCCTTTGACACGCCATGGGGCGAAGTGGCTTATCACGCACGCGTCAGGCGGGCGGGATTTCCCTGGGGCATCGCCGCGGTCGCTGAGGGACGGCAGGACCCGAAAAGACGGCGGCCGGGCTGGTGCGCCTTTGCAACCGCTCCGTTCCCCACCTCCGCCCCCGCTCCGCACGCGCAGGAGCCGGATCCCAGGCGGCTGATGGGCGGGCGGGACGCGGGGGCGCGCGGCGACGCGGCCGGCGACCCTGGGTTAGGGCAGTGGCCCGCTGGCCCCGGCCGTGACCAGCTGCCGCCGCCGCCTCCGCCGCGGCTGCAACAGCGGAGGCCGCCTCGCCGCCCCTGCAGCGCCCGAGACCCGCGCCGATGACCCCGGGTGCCCGCCGCCCCCGCGACACAGCTCTCCGCGCCGCACCGCCCTGCGCTGCCCCGCCCCGCCCCGTCTCGTCCCCGACGACGCCCACTTGCTCTACCTGCTCCACCGTTCGGTGCCTACACCACGCCACGACGCGCCGCGCCGCTTCGCCCCCTCCCCCCGGTTATGCTCCCAGATGCCTCCCACCCCAACAGTGGGCCTTGGGGGACACCCGTCCTTTGATGCAGCCTGTAAGGGGACTGAGGCCAACAAATGGTACTGATTACTTAAGCAGCAATATCAGGATTTCATTGAAAATAAATAAAAACTGCAAAATAAATGTGTAATACATCTTTGTTTAGTGTGTGTATATGTGTACTCGGTGATGACAGGCACAATACGTATCGAGACATACCAAAACTCTCCAATTCAAAATCCACAAACACGATAGGTCATCAACAGAAGAAGGATGGAATGCTTATTACATAATGGTTCCCTTTGAATGAAGACGCTATCTTCCTTTGTCGTGTCTTAAAAAAGTTCGACATAATTTGTATTACTTTGGAAATATCCCTCTGCAGTTTGTGCTTTTGGAGAAATTCACTTGTAATTTACAATATCATATTGAAGAAATTTTTTATAATTACTTCTCTTTTTCAAGTTGTTCTACATATACGTACAATCTATATAAATGTCTCGATATATTTATTAATAGGAGAAACGAGCCTGAAGCATCATGTGAGTGAAGAGGTATTCTTTCGCGCATTGATCCAATTGCTCAAATTCCTTGAGTGAGCGACGTCTGGGCGCCGGCTGCCGCCTGTGCCGCCTGTGAGGCGACTGGCCGTCGGGTGGTCGTGTTGCTCGTGTGGCTGGACTCCTTTCCACGCACGCGCTCATTAGCGCCTGACATCACGAGGAGCCGCTCCGCCGCTGCCCGGGACTAATATTATCCGTCCGAGAGCGGGCGAAAGTCACGACACCGCTGTTGACGGGGAGTCAGCACAAGTACTTTCGGGGGTGAGAAATGGTTCCTGAAGGGTTTTCCGAGTTACGTTTTAATGCGGGCCGTCGCCCACGAATACGACTCGATGGTGGAAATGAGTGGCGATCAAAATAGAGCGGATTTCTTTGCCATCTAATTGTGGAGTCAAATTACAAGACTTATTTTTTTATTTGTGGCGTTTGAGAGGCCAATTTTGTAGTGTGATGTAAATTTACGCATTGTCATCCTGATAGTTATTGGCCATAGTATCAAAGAATTAATGGCATTTATGTAAATGCTGTATTTTGCTGAATGTCCTGGCAGTACACAAATATTAACTTTTTAAATAGCGACTTGTACGGAGAAGCGTAAACTAGACAGATCCAGCTTTGTCCACTGTGAGTATTAGAAACTCGCATGAAGCCAACATAATTGAAGGTGTTGAAGGTCAACCAGAGAAGCCACCTCCCCCTAATGAAATAGAAGGTTCATTTCGGTTTCATGTTTTAGATTAGGGTCTCAAGACCGCATCCAGGAACTCCTTGTAGTGTTCTAATTAACACTATATACGTAACTACGATGAGGCTCTTTACAATATATGAAACAACGAAATGTGGTTCTCAATTATTTCGGGTGCGCAGACTATTGACCTAGGAGACCTATTGACCTATCTTTTCCAAGAAATACACGATCAAGAAACTTAGATGCGTTTTATGTGATGCGGGTTGCATGTGCGTGTGGCATAATCTACCAAATTATATCTTTTTAATCGTCAATCTGTTTCATGGACTATCTATAGAAGTAGCAATTTTCAATTTTTAACGGAGTTCGCTTAGATAATAATAAGCATATGTTACCATAATAAATACTGTAAGTTTCAAGGTTTCTAAGTAGAGAAAAAACATGTAAAAGTTTTGTCTTTTACTTCAAACACTCTGTATATTTAAAAAAATACATATTCAAAAGATGTAAATCTGATTGCATTTCTTCAAATATTTTCACGAATCTGCTTCTACATTTTTACAACACTAGGTAGAATAGTTTCCGAGAAAGTGGGTCACATGTACAGCCAAATTAATATGGGAGAGATAGGGCTTTCTGTCCCTCCATAAAATCGGCTTAGACATAAGGGCATCAATTGATGTCACTGATTGGAAGGTGTTAGGGTTCGAGTCCCGTCGGTGGCAGGATATGCGACATAAGCTGGGTCTAATTCAAAGGGTGTGTGGAGGATCCGAGCGGCCGGCTGCTCTGATAGTTAGGGGAAGGCCGAAGAGTCCTAACACACGGACCGCGCGCGGGCTTTCCATCCTCTTCCTTGTCCCATCCTCAACTTTTACTTACCCCCTGACACTTACACGCACTACACTATCACATATGTCGGGAGCTTAGGGCTTGTCCTGGCGGGGGCGTTGCCCCACTAGTAGGTGATATCTAGTTGGGGAAACCCGTCATGTTGACGTGCAGGTTGGATCCGGATCTAGACACTCAGCGAAGATCACTGCCACCTCCCGCGATAAAAAGCACGTATTACACTAAGGGAACTAATGAGCTTAGCAGCTGACGCGCCCGGAAACACTGATCAATCAAAGAAGCTCCGCTTCAATGAAGGAATTTCTCTCCTGGGCTGTATGCTGGGAGGAGCGCGCACTCACCGGCGTCTCCGCGCCGTAGTGCGCGCGCGTGCGCATCCAGCGCGCGTCGAAGTCGTCGCCCAGCTGCAGGCGCAGGTCGGCCTCGCGCAGGTCGCGGCGCCGCGGCTTCAGCACGGTCTTGGGCGAGCGCGCCCACAGCTTGAAGGGCAGCGTGGGCTTGTCGGGGCTGGAGCCCACTAGCCCCGCGCTGTCCGGGGACGTGGCCGCCTGCGCCCCGGCGCACGCGCACCACGCCGCCAGCAGCACCGCCGCCTGCCGAACGAAACGCGTTGTCAAGGCGGCACCACACATTCGGTATTTGGCGAGTAGCGAGCAACCGCTCGCCGAATCCCAAGGTGTTGGGGGGTGAGGGGTTTGCTATTTGTCGAGTGACGAACATTCGGTGTTCGTCCTACCCACCACGGGTCGATGTTTTTGACCCCATCAAACGAAGCGAACATTCGCCCAACACATCAGCAGGTCGGGATTGGACGAACAGTAAGAGCTCGCTGGTCGGCATATACCGTGTGTGTGGAGTCGCCTTTATATTTACAAAATACAGTGTACCAGGGAAGTCTCTCCGCACCAAGCCGAATCAGGGGCTCTTATTAAAAATTGCATTTAAGTTCGTAGCAACTAGATTACTGGCAATCCAGTGAAGGGGGCAACATTTCCAGTACCTGTTATGATTGTGATGAGTACACAATTTATGTTTTCATTTGTTACAAACTGCATGCTACCAACATAATTTCTGTTGCTAGCACGGTTACCAGCCACTGGTGCCATTGCGAAGACAGTACTGGGGCACTATACTACCCATAGTTTCTTTTTTTAAGGGATGGTCTTTTTGCGGGTTCAAACGATTGCACGTTATTATAGTTTTACAATAAAAATAAATTTCAAGGGGATTCGTGACGTTTTCTTCAACGGGTAAACGATCTGGGAGAAGCGGAACGGGGGACTACCTATTCTCGATAAGCTGACCGTTTGCAGGGTTAGGGAGTGATCTTCCTGCTTCGAGAACTACGTACTCAAAACCATGAGATGTGTGTTAAAAATCTTTGATAGCTCAGGGAGAGTAAAGAAAGCGTCTGCAAATGTAAATGTTTCGGTTCACTGGCACTCGAGATTATTTGTACCGTCAAAACTGTTATATAGTGTAAAACCAACAGACAAAACCATATTGCTCTAGCAATAATACAGATGCAACCGTACGGATACACCGACACGGGTAGAACTGTACAGATACACCAGTAAAGACAAAACCGTACGGTGAAAAACTGAATCGGTAAAACTGAATGGGTAAAAGTGCACTGGTGATACTCGCAAGTATCCCGAACATATGTTATCCTTGAAACTCATAGGTATCCTGAACATGTCGCCCCTTCAACCCCGCAAGTATCCGGAAGAGAACGATGTCGCCCAGCGACATCGCCATTATCGTGGAGAATGACTGGAGAGCGCGGGGCCGCTGCGCAGCAGGCGCGCAGGAGCTGCGCTGCGCATTGCTCACCCAGGGGCGCGGGGTTGCGGAGGCCGTCCTCATGGCCGCCACCGACGTCCTCGCCCTCGGCAGCTCGCGCCCTGCGGACACCAAATACAGCCACGTGAGCAGACCCGCGACACGCAGACACAGTACTTATTTTGGTCAGGAAAGAAAAGAAAAACAAACAAACAATATACCACTGCGAAATCACAAAGAGGAATGACCTAATAGAACTAAAAATTAGAGAAATCATTTAAAGCACCTCCGCACTGAGCCGAAGCAGGGCTTTCAATTAAATATTGCATTTATGTTGGTAGCAACCGGATCACTGAAAAACAATGAAGGGGACAACACCAACAGCAGAGTTCAGCATATGGTATGTATAATTGTAAAGACACGTGACGGGTCAACAATCGAAATAAAACACCGAAAACAAAACTTAAAACATTCAATTAATTAAAACATTAATGTTTTAGGAGGCCACCCAAAAATGCTTCTGCCTCGCCAAGACAACTTATGGGGGAAAAAAACTGTCTTAATTCTTCAAACAATTGGTACTCCGACCGGAAAGCGAATCCCTTTATTAAAGTTTACGATCAGTTCTGACCTCTTCCGAGAGAATAATACTCCGACCGGTTGATTTGATGAAGATTGAACTTTCACTTGTCGCAATGCTTATTACAATAAAGTGGAAAATAAAGAAACATTTGACATGCAACGGCACGTCTCAAATATTTATTCCTATGATTTCAAGCTTGACAATCGTTTCATAAACGGAAATTGAGTGTTTTCGTGGACTTTTAAACAAACAACGTGTAATCTCTCAAATAATTCCTATAACTAGTGTACACTAGACAGCCCCTTAATGTATCTTTGACCTCACAAATGTTAATCATTTATGATTGACACTGATCAGTGAACTAGTACAAAATGATATTTTTCTCTTTCTACCATTTGCGTTCATGTGTATATCGGAACCTCTTGCTTCAGACGAGAGCGGTGCTGATAAATCTGCAAACATTTCTTGACAAACAAAACATTTCTATTAAAACATTGATAAAAGATATATCAAGTCATAAAATAAATTCATTTTGATATAAAAAATGAAGTATCACTTTACATTTTATAAGATTCTTATAAGGTTCATTATTTTCTAAGAGCTCATAATGCAGATATATTACTAAATGATAGAAAATAGCTACATGTCACTTGCAGGAATAACTGTAATCTCATGATTATAATTATAATTAATATTAATTCAAATATCAGAGCACATGCTGTGCATCAACACTGCTGCCTTGTGTGCGTCCAGTTTGCAACATGCAAGTCACGCTGTCTGCGCCAACAGTTGCTTACTATACAAACAATGTGGCGGATGAGACGCTGATCAAGACGCAGCACAGCATTTCCCTGAATTTGGACTTCACATTCAACATTAAACAAGTTATGAATAGTCAGGCGTATACAGCGCTGGATAATCGCAGACCTGATACAACAATGTTGTTTGTCCCCCTATTTTAATATTTCCATATTGAAGTAACGTTCTTCAAAGAGACTGTGCGGAAGAGCATACCTTACGGACTCAACTTCGTCTCTAATCAACACTACGATTAGTAAATTATTAACTCGTGCGTTTTTTACAACAATCTTTATGTAATATATAAACTCGTACCTTTTTTACAACAATCATAAGTTGATTAAGAAAAATATTTTTATAGTTCAAAACTAAAATGTGAAGAAATTGCATTAATAGCAAGACCATCGTCATTCTTCAAACCTGCCGATAATACTGTTAAATTGAAACAACTTGTTTTTTCTAACTACTTTGTTTCATTACGTATACTCACCGCCTATCAATTAAGAAATAAAATCTTAATGTAAAATGCGTGTACCAGTAGAGAAAATTGTATAGTAGTCTCAAGAATGGAATGAACACAAAGAGCTGAGGAGGAATGTTTCAAGTGATAGATGAACTCAGAGTATCTATAAAATCCACCTCGCAATTAGAGCAATAAATACGACTACCTGCATCTTAGGAGCACCGCTTTCCAAGCTCAGATAATTAGTATCAGTACGAAACGATTGGTATTTGGTCCATTTCTTTGGAACGCCGTGTGTTGAAAAAACAAATCGTCCAAGGGCAGATGCATTGCAGTCCCTCAGATCAATTATGTTTAGCTGCGAGGTGAAGGTGTTTCTAACAAGCAGCGAGATAAAAATACACGGGCTCCTACTGCAAGATATATATCACACTTCAAAGAACGCATTTGCTTCAAAATAGTAGAGATAAAAGAACAAGCAGAACAGAATTGAATCGGTACTAAATGCAGAATGTAAAAAAGAAGAAAATGTGATACCCTGGTGACAAACACGCTGAACGATGTTGGGTGGAGCTTTGACCTCGCGTCGTCAGCAACCTCATTCGCCCACTTGCCAGAAACTCTGTTCCAAAAGGAATGGCGAACAAGAGCCACAGACCCGCGCTGTTGTAAAAGGCGTCCGCGTGGGGGATGGACAATTCGCTGCAGAGGATCCGGGAAACAGGGCAGGCGCCCACGGGCCGGGATTGGCATCCCCAAATGCCACGGCCCCAATTGCGGGTCTTCCTACGAAACATAATACATCATTATAATGCCACAAAGGAAAGACGAGCTCTCGGGTTGAAATATCCGACTTCAGAATTAAGGTAACATTCAATTCATCAAAGAAGTTTTGACAATCAGTGAAGGAGAAAATAATAACTCGACATTTTTATGTGCGTCTCTACAACTGACCACAAATTCATTCCCTAGAAGAGAAATTGACTGCTTATCCTACGCACCATGACGGAACCTCCTATAGTAGAGAAACAAGTGTTTTTAACAGTAAGAAATGAACGCGACGAAATGATAGACAGTCATCTACCAATAAAAGCCAACGTTGAATGACTGCTAGAAAAATGAAAGGTCTCAATTGTGTAAAAAAACTGAAGTTTTTAATTTTATTTTGAGAAAAAGGCAGTTGAAATGAAATATTACTAAATCATAATTGACTATTTAATAATGGAACAATTTCAGTGTACCACCAAATTTTGAAGAGTACCTAAAGAAGTTATTTAACCGCTTAAAACATTTACGTTTATGATGATTCAGATTTTTTCTTCCGTGTTCAATTCTGTTGAGATTAAGACATCTATTACTAATTTCCAACGAGCGCAGAAGTTGAAAGAAAGCAGCGCATAATCCGGCCATCTAAGAGGTGCCTACGGTTTTGTTAGATATCCAGATACTCGACTATGATACAATTTCGATTTTGACTAAAAATATGCATATATTTAAATGTGTTATTCCCGCTATTGTCACACTACACAAACCGAATGAATTACAATTCTTGACTCGATAATAAAGGAGCGGTGAAATATATTATAAAATACAAAACTTAATGAAAAAGAGGAATAGGACGACCAAGAAGAAGATGGCTTGAACGAAGCGGAACAGACAGTAAGTCTATAATCCTTGATATTGAACAAGATACGTGTTGGGCCTAAACCTCCGCTCAGGGACTGGATTGTTTAAAAAAAGGCTAAAGAGTTTTGACCGTAAGACGTGAAATCACGTTCAACTTGTTTTCTCGCGTCATCAGGCGATGGATCTCGCAGTGAAGGCACTTGCGCAGTTGTACAGACAGGCGCTGACTTAGAGGACCTTCACATCCTGTTAATTACGACGTATTTTCGTGTGCAAAGTTTACTTCTCATAATACATTAATATTTTAGGAAAAGAACCGGCTTAGGTGGCTCAGGACATTACTTAATGATACCGTAGTGTCTATGAGCGGGAGGTCTTATGCTTCGAGTCACGGCGGTGACAGGATTTTCGAAAATTATCTAGATAGGAAGGTCGTATTCAGTCGTATTCAGGTCGGATTCAGAATTCTAGCTGCCGTCTGCTCTGATATGTAGTTTTCCGTGGTGTCTCCTTTCAACACCAGGTGAATTCCGGAGAAGTAACCAAACAACTTCCGCCCTGTCTCGGAGTCCATAGTAACCAACACCGGTGGCCAAAGTTCTGGCAGAATTTTGTGACTCGAACCTATTAGTGATTGGGAGGTCATGGGTTTTATTACCACCTAGAGTCGTAAATTTGGATGATAAATTTATCATTGATTACTTTCTGATGTCTCCCAGACTTTAATTCGCCGGACGACTGTTCTGATCAGTGATATTAGTGGTTTCTCTGTCCCCTTCCAGAAGAATGCTGGGACAGCATTCCCAAATATGAGACATAGACCGCGCGTGATATTTCCTTCTCTAAACCTGAACCCATTTACCATCTTTTAGGATATAGGGTAAGGTGATCACCCAATGTAGAATATGTCTTTCTCCACTAATCGAGGGCAAAAACCTCAGACTATTGTCAGAAAGAAGACAAGTCAAAAGAAGTAACGATAAACTAGTTAGCTCCGTGCATGTCACTGTAGTGTCTCAGACTGGGAGTCTGTAGGGTTCGAGTTGCGACAGTAGCAGGATTTTCCACACCAGCTAATCGAGATAAGCCTCCATCTGGAGGAGAATTCTATCGGCCGGCTTCTTTGATCAGAATTGTTCCGTTTCTTTGATGAACACCAAGGGCATGCCGGAGCAGACCCGAACAAACAGGTGACGGACCGCGTGTGATGTTTCCTTCGTCTTCCTTGTCCTATCCTCACACCTTACACACACTTTTACTAACAAGCCCTACACTATCACACATGCCGGGAGCCCGGTCGGGAGAGTAGAAGTTCTCCCAGGCGGGGCGTTGCTTCGCTGGAGGGAAATCGGTCGGTGGCTGGCCTCGGCTGGAGAGTTGGACGGCAGTGGTTCCTGCCACCTTCCGCGATGAAAAACAACACTTACAGGACCAACGACTGTAACAGTTGACGCTCCCGGAAACACTAATCAATGAATCGAAGAATCAAGACGAAGAGGCATTGAAATGGCGGCGCCGGGCACGGGCCATGGTGTGGTCGGCGCAGCCCGCGCGCCCCAGCGGCCGTCGGCCGAGACGCGTCCCCGCCGCGCCGCGGAAGCCATTCGTCACACCTTATGAAGCGCCAATTGGGCGGAGAGCGCCGCCTGCGC